TTATATACAAATTAGATATTAAAAAGAGAAGAAATGTGAGACTGACAAAAATATATTTATTTTAGTCACATCCGTTTCTTAGAACAGCAATATATATTTTTATATATCTTTTTACTTTGCGCGAATTTGCGTTGGCGGGGTTGTAATTGATGGTTTTAAATTAATAAGTGCGGCAAAGAATAAAAGTGTTCGCTTAATTTGTCGTTATAATATCTCTCAAATTTATTCCTTTTTTTAGTTATTATCAGTAACATATTCCCAATTATTTAGAGAGAAAAAATTAAAGAAAAAAATTGAAGAACATAAAATAATTAATGATTTTTTGCTTCTGCTTCAAGTTAAAAAAATAATAATTATTATTTGCAAAATACCTGTTATATAACGAATTATTATGATAAGAGACAGTAATATATTTGCTATGATAGTTTTTTTATTCTAGAAAATAACTAAAAATCCAAAAATTTAAAAATAACCTAAACAGTTTTCAAATTCTGATTTTATAATTATCAGAATTTGTAAACTTGAAGCAGAATAACAAAACTTAATATGTATATTTTAGACTTTCAGAAAAAGAATAAGTTTTACAATTACATAATTCTGATTATGAATTACAATTCTAAGAATTAATTCTGATTTTTACAAATTCTGATTTACAAATTCTGATTTTTAAAAATGGTTAGATATTATGCGTTTACAAATTCTGGTTTCTCAAATTCTGATTTGTAAATTTAAATTTAAACTCCAATAAATTTCACAAATCAGAATTAGTTCTGATTTGTGAACATGAGATAGACAAATAAAGAAATTCTGATTTTTACAAATTCTGTTTTGTAAATATCATAATAATTCTAATTTGTAATAATTGAATACTTGTATTTGTAACATTAATTATAGTTTATTTAGAATAAATTTGTGGACAGCAACAGCCTCAAAAATTTGTAAAAAAAAGTAGGACTATTAAAAATGTTTGTATATTAACATAGCCAAATATTAGGTCAACCATTTTATAACTAACAAGAAAGAGAGCTAACCGGTGATCTTCGAAAGAAAATTAGAAAAAAATTTTTTTTTGAAAAGAGAAGTTCGCGGAGTCGTGACGTGTAGGTAGAGGGACACATTTTTATTTTCTTTTTTTTTCAGTTTGTTCATCACAAAAATTCTTTCTTTTTTTTTTAATTTAAAGCGTAAATTATCGCGCAATGTTTAGAAAAAAAGACGGACGCAAATAAGATTTTTTTGTTTGAGAGAAGTATTTTAAGAAAGATGTGCGGAACAGGGAAAAGGGAAGGGCAGTTAAATTTAACGGAATTTTAAAAATTACTAAAAGTTTGTGTCCAAAAATATTTTTTAAAAACAATTTAGTAAATTTAAATAAATTAAAGCCCTGGGTTTTAAAAGCCCTGGCTAATTAAAGCCCTTTATAATTAAAGCCCTGGGTGTCTATTTTTCAATGGGCCTCCTTGGGTAGGCTTGTATTAGATATGGACTTCTACATATTAGGAAATGAGCGTTTATTTTTCAATGGGCTTCCTTGGCAGTGGTGGGTCGGAACAGTCCGAGTTGCCGGAAATCGGAACTGGCACAAAAGTCGGAACTCGGAAATCGCAAATCAAAATTTCGACCACCTCTGCTCCTTGTATAGGCTTCTAATAGAGCCAGGCTTTAATTAGAGCATTTACAGTAATCTCAAATTGAACATAAAAGTAATTTAGAGACAGAAAGGGAGCTGAAAAATTGAAATGCTGCTTTCCGACTCTTTTAAGTTCCGTTTTTTAATTTTAACAAAAATTTTCTAGTAATTTATCTAGAAATTCATTTAAAATTTTTCAAATAAAAATTTTCTTGCGATTTCCCAATTTTCTGTCTTCCGTCATTTGGAATACTTGAATTCATACTCTTCCGAGTTCCGGAAGAGTAACTGAACTGGAAATATTGTTGTAAAAATATGTGAACTACCACAAACCGGAAAATAAACAGTCAAAAGAAGTGATAATAAATATAAAAGCCGATAAACAATCAAAAAGAGTTTAAGGAAGTAAAACTGATAAAATAAGAAATAAAAAAGGGTTGGGAAAGACAAAAAAATTGATAAAAAAATAAAGGCGCGAAGAGGGAAAAGGGAAGTGAGAATTTTAAGTGAATTTTTTATATCAATTTTAATTGTGAAATAATAAAATTAATATTTTTCTTTTGAAATCTAGACAATAACAAAACAGAAAACTTCTTATAATTAACTCTCTCCTCTCTTTCAATAATAGAGGTTTATAGTCTCTTCAAAGAGATTCTTCCCGGTTTTAAGGTTGGCGGATCCGGATCAGAAAAAACATGATATTCGTAAATTCTGGTTCGGATATCGGGTTTTGAATAACCAAATCTATCCCTATTCTATAGTCCTTCCTCATAATACTTTTAAAATTCCTTCTAAGGTCCCTTACTTTTTAATTAAATAAATTTAAAAAAAATTAATTAAATTATTTAAAAGACAAAAATTTAAATACATAAATTATATTTATTTAATTTAATAGTATATTTTACGTAATTTAATTTATCTCTTCTATAAACTCTTTTCACTTTATTTATAAGTACATACAATTATTGGGCGTGGTTTTTAACATTTTTGGGAGGTCTGTTTCCTATGCCCCCCAATTAAAGACAAAAATCAGAAATGACAGGTAGACTTTTTTAAATATAAAAACAGAATGATTTAATTAAAATTGTTAAATTAAAAAAATAAAATAATTTAAAAAATAATTTTTTTGAATATTAAATTATTTGAAACATAGGATAGTGATAGTGATTTAATTAAAAAATAAAAATTTAATTAAAAATAGAATAATTAATAAAAATATATACCAGAAAATGAAAGAAGTACAAATCAGAATAAAGAAAACATAATAAAAAATCAGAACAAATAAAAATCAGAAAAAGGAATCAGAACAAATCAGAAAAAGAAATCAGAATAAAATCTGAACAACCAGAATAAAAATAGATATAAAAACAGAAAAAATCAGAATAAAAATCAGAACAACTCAAAAAAAATCAGAACAAACCAAAATAGAAATTAAAACAAAATCAGAAAAAAATCAGAACAACCCAGAAATAAATCCGAACAAATCAGAAAAAAATCAGAACAAATCAAAAAAGCAGAATAAAAATCAGAAGAAACCAGAATAAAATCTGAACAAACCAGAATACAAATCAAAATAAAATCAGAAAAAAATTTAAATAAAAACCAGAATACTTTTACAAAAATAGTAGGCGTTAATTGTGTTGGGCAGGTTTTACCGCCCATACATAATTCATATAAAATATTATTATTAATTTAATACAAAAATTATTAACAGAAATTTATATAAACTTCAAGGTCTTAAAATGACTAATATTTAAAATAATAAACTAAATAAATTTATTTTTAAATAATTATTTTACGTTGATGATTGCGTAGGCGTCTTTTTACATTTTTAATGAAGAAAAAAAGTTGTTTTATTGAAAAAAAACTTTTTTAGCAATTTAAATGTAGTAATTTTGTAAAGAATCTTTAAACTAAATTAAATTAGTTAGTGTTGTGACGTAAAGTTACTTTTCTGAAAAAAAATAAAAATTCTAAAATCAGAATTTATTTAAAACTTATTGGAAAATTCTGATAACAAGTTTTAACTAAAGAAAGTTTTATAAATGTTTTGAAGAAATTCTAAAAATGTTTAAATGAAATTCTGAAAAAAATAAAAATCAGAATTTTTATAAAACATGTTTATAAAATGCGAATTCTGATAAAAGTTTTATACAAGAAAACACAAAAATTCTGAAAAAGAAACACAAATACAACATAAATTCTGAAATCAGAATTTATTTAAAACATGTTTTTATGAAATGAGAAATTCTGGCAAACAAGTTTTATTTAAAGAAAACACAATGTTTTGAAGAGATTCTGAAACGGAAAAACACAAAATTTAAAAGTAAACATAAAACACAAAAAAGACATTCTGAAATTACTAAACATTTAAAATAAAGCCTTAAAATCGTAGTTGTGTATTTTAAGATATAGACATAAAATACAATTAAAAATACATTTAAAACCCCCAAGAGAAAGTTGCCTATAGCTCCACTCAACATGAAGTCTACAAAAAAATCTCTCAAAAAATTTTTACCGCCAAAAACACAAAATTATTTTTCTTATTTTACTGCCCAAGGCTTCCTCATTATTGTACTATTTTTGTAAATAATTTGAAGAATCGCCAAAATAAAAAGGGAAGGCGGCGAAAAATTTTGTTTATCAAAACGTAGGGCATATTTGCGTGAGGCTAAGAATAATAATGAATTTTAAAAGAAAATAAAAACAAAAAAAAATATAAATGTTTCTAAGTTGCATTATCTAGCCAAAAAATTATATAAAAGGTGAAAGCCGACAAAACAATGCCCCCAAGTTGATAATTTTTGATTAAGTATTTTTGGGAGAAATTAGAAGGAAAGAGAAAATAAGTAAATAAAATTGGGAAGAATTTGGATAAATTATTTAATAAATTGTGTTTTAAAGAAATTCTGAAAATGTTTTGAAAAGATTCTGAAAATGTTTTGGAGATCTTTAAGTGTTTTGAAGAAGTTCTGAAAATGTTTTTAAAAAAATTCTGCAAATGTTTTGAAGAAATTCTGAAAATGTTTTGAAGAAGTTCTGAAAATGTTTTTAATATTCTGAAAATGTTTTGGAGAAATTCTGAAAAAATAAATTCTGAAATCAGAATTTCTTCCAAACATATGGTGAAATGAGAAATTATGATATTAAGCAAACAAAACACAAATTCTGATCTGGAACAAAAACACAAAACTTAGCAACACAAAACACAAATTATTCTGAAATTAAAAATAAAATAAACTTTGTTTTACAACAATAAATTTAAAAACACAAACACAGACTTATTCCTCTAAAATCATTTATTTTTATTTCTGCTTATAAAAATCCTAAATAAATTATTTGTTTTTGCTATGTGAGAAAACAAAGCTTTTTATAAGGAACTGGCTGATGTGAGAATTAAATATATATTTTTTCTATTATTTATTAAAAAATGTGCCGGAGAAGAGTAGATCCTCAACCAAGTAAAAAGAAAGTTTTTACGCGCGACTGGCAAGTTTCTTTTTCCAGAGTTTTTATACTGGAAAGGATGATTGGTTGAGAGAAGGAAGAGGAAAAAGGAAGAAAAAGGACAACAATGGAAGAATAAAAAATAAAGGAGGAGGAAGATGCTCTTTGGGAAAGAAAAAATTCCGGAGGCTTTTTGATGGAACAGGAACATGAGGGAGAGGGAAGGGGAGGGAGTGATCGCTCAACCAACTTTCTCCAATCGTCAAAATATAAAAGAGGAAATCTAAGTGAAAGTGCTATTGGAGGAATAGCTAATTTCCTCTCTCCTTTTTTTTCTTCAAAAAAATCCTTCAGAATTTTCAAGCCTGTTGTCCAGTGGACGTGAAAAGAGTCGCGTGAAGATTAATAAGAAAGGAGTACGCCAAGTCCGTCTTTTTTTGTTGTCGTGTCCATTTTTCTTTCTTCCTTTTAATCTTAAAGAGGAAAATAAGGAAAACGGAAGAAGGATAAAATTATGAAGATAAATAATGGAAAAAGAATTTTTGGAAATTAAAAAACGTTAAAAACTGAAAGGAATACAAATTTAAGATGATAAGAATCACAATGACGAAGAATGAATAAATTAGGAAGTGAATGAATGGAGGAATAGAGGAAGGTAGGAGGTGTTTTCTAAAAGAAGTTCAGGGAAATGAGGGAATAGAAGTTGAAGAAAAATGGAAGAAGAAGAAGAAAATGAAGGAAAGAGAAGAAAAATGAGTGAAGCGAATGAAACAAAAAGATGGGGGTAAGGGTGGAAGGAGGAAGAGTAAAAAAAAGGGGTGGAGGGAAGGAGAATAGGAGAAGAAGAATTATGAAAGACTTGAATACGGAAGAAGAAAAATGAGGGAAGAATACGGAAGAAGAAAGGAAGAGTTAATAAAAAATGCTTAAAAAGACACAAATTATATAAAAATATCCTCCGGCTACTACTATTCATAATTAAAATTAGTTTTTTCCTCTCCCAGCCGGTTGGCGTTATTATTATATTCAAACCGGTTGAAAAGCGGCAAGTCTCTCCTTTCCCTTTCTTTTTGGAGAAAATTTTTTTGAAGAAGTTCTTCTGCCCTTGGATTTTTTATATCCTTCAAATATCCTCTTCCATAATTTTTTTTCTTCCAAAAAATAATTTCCATTTTTTCTTTTAAAAAGAAAAATCTTTTTACCCATCTTTTCCACTTTTTGCGCATTAGAGTAGACTACTACTTTAATGAACGGAACAAAAAAGTGAATTAGAGAGAGAAGTGAGAGATCTTTCCGTTTTCTTCCCCTAATAATAATACAACTTTTTTTCCTTTTATTTTCTTCCCAAGTTTATTTATATCCGGCTATTTATTTTTAATAAAATAAATTCAAGTTTATTTTAATTAAAAAATAAACTTTTTTCCTATAATTAATAAATAAACTTAGATTAATTTAAATAAACTTGAATTATTAAATAAACTTGAAACTTGAATTAAACCTGACTTAAATAAACCTGAATTTTAAATAAACTTAAGATTAAACTTGAATTTTAAATAAACTTTAATTTTAAATAAACTTGAAATTAAACTTGAAACACGAATTAAATTAGAAGCAAAACAGAAGAGACATATAATTAGACTAGATATAGTGACTTTATCAGAGCTTCAAAACCTATCAGATTTTTTAAAATATAAATAGTATCATACATATAGACGAGTTTATCGTTTCATAAATTTAATAAAAAATAAATAAAATAAATTTATTATTTTAATTAAATAAAAAATAGAGAATTTTGAAGGTTATTTTACCCTGTTTTACCTATAATTTTTTGTGTTTTTATCATTTTTGGGTGGTTTGAACTTTTTTTGTTTTATTTATTTATTTGATGACTTTTGGTCTTAAAAATATTCTTTTTTTCCTTTCTTTTTATTTTTGGTCATTTATTTTTTTATTTTACTTTTTTCTGTCAGTCCGGGAAAGAGTAGAAGCAGGTGATAATAATGTGTAAAAAGGCAGGTGATTATTTTTGGAGAGAAAATAAAAAAAATTTTTATTTTAGAGAGAATTAATAAAGAGAAGGAATTGAAGAGAAAGATTTTTGGAAGTATAAAAAAAAATAAATATTATTAAAACAATTTAATTGTAAGGTAATTGAAATAATTAAAATACTGAAGCAAGCGGAATTTTGAACTTGAAACAGGCGGAATAATTAAATAGGCGGAAAAATATGGTAGGCGGAATTTGTATAGTACATATTCCGCCTGCTTCATTTCATATATTGAAACAGGCGGAATTATTAAAGTAAGCGATTCATTTATTAAATAAACTTGAAATTAAACTTGAATTTAATTAGAAGCAAAATACAGGGGAAAATTTTTAAAAATAAGAATTATTAGTCATTTTTAAATTAAAAAATTAAACTTTTAAAGAATACATTGAAAAAGGATTATTTAATTTATTTAATTGAAAAAAGCGATTTGACGGCAATAAGCAGCTCATCCTCTCCCCCCACACTTTTTTTGCCTTTTCAAAGCTGTCGATAATATGTGGAGGTGGAAGAAGCAAAAGAAAAAAAATATATCAGAAAAAAGAAAAACATTGTTATATAGACAATGTAATAAATAAAGCTTGGCTGGCGCGAATATACACGCAGAATAAACAAAATGGCAACAGAAAAAAGAGAAAAAGAAAAGAAAGGGAAACAAAGTTGGAAGTGAGAGAAACCGGAACAAAACCTGATCAGACACTTGAAAAAAAAAGTTTTAAAGTTGCAATTCTGGTCAATTAAAATTAAACTTGAATTTCAGAATCAGAAATTTTAAAGTTTATTTATTTAAAGTTGCAATTCTGATTTTAAATAAACTTGAATTTTATAGTAAAACTTAAGTGTATAAACTTAAGTCTATTAAATAAAACTTAAGTTTATTATTCTAATAATCAGAAACTTGTAAAGAAAAATGTTTCAAGTTGCAATTCTGATCATTAAACCTATGATTTATTAAAAAACGAAATTGAAGCAGGCGGAATATTTTAATAAAATAAATTTAAAAAATATTTCAAGTTTTAATTTAGAAATAACTCTGACGCTTCTGTTTTACTCAGGTAAAAGCAATATATTGCAGTTATTAATAAAATAAAATTTTTGTATGTTCAGCATTAATTTTATTTTTTTCTAATTTTTATTTTTACTTCCCCCAAAAAATATTTTTTATAGGAGGAAAAAATTAAAAAAAATAATTTTCCCTTTTCAGGAAAAAATTGAAGCTTGAAAAAGAAGCAAAAAATAAAGTTTGAACTTAAAAACTTGGAAATAAACTTGAAAAGTTGGGGAAGTTGAAACAGGCGGAATTAAAGTTTAAAATATCAGAATTAAATTTTAAAAAATCAGAATTTTCAGAATTTAAATTTAAAAAAATTAAATTTTTTTCTAAGGCAAAAATCGACTTAAAGCTTTCTCAATTACTTTCTCTCTTTAAAATCGATTTTGATTGGAAAATTGATTTTAATGTTGGGTAGTTGGGGTAAATAAGGGGGAGAGGATTGAGAGAAAGAGAGATTGATGTTTTTATTTGAAAGTTTGTTTGATGCTAGAGGGGATTTTTTAATTTTATTTTTAATTTTTGAAGGAAAAAGGGGAGTAATTTCTGTTTAATTTTGGAGGGATAAAAGAAAAATTTTATAATAAAAAAATTAAAAAAAGGTAAAAAAAAGGGGAGAAAAAATCAGAGTTGGTAATGGACATGGATTTTAGTATCCGGATATTTACAGCAGATATAGACGGAATATCCGCAGGCCTTTTGAACTTATCTGTATCCATATCTATTACCTAGCCTGGAAAAAATATTGAAAAATTCCATTCTTAAATAATACAAACAATTATAAAGCCTTGGCTCTGTTTTATGTTCGAGATTGACGAAATCATGCGGAAAACGGAAATTTTTTTTCTTGGAATTTTCAACGAGATATTCATCGCGAGTGTCCGGAATTTAAAGTGAGAATATGAAAAACTTAAACCTAACTTTCTCAATTAATTTTAAAAAATAATCAAAGTAATTTATTTGTTAGTGTATTAATCAGGGGTATGCCAGTTTAGCCTTTGACATTTCTAGCTTGCCGAATTTCGCTTTTCATACCTACATATTTGGGTGTTTCATTTTTTGCTTTAAAATTACTTTAGGCATCCTCCAATATTTATTTGAATTTAAATAAAATAAAATTTTTTAGAGGAAAAATTAATTTAAATTAAAATAAAGAGTCAATAATGTGTGTTACCCACAAAAATAAAAATTTATATTTATTTAAAAAGGATGGAAATTTTTTTTTTCAATTTTATAAATATTGATTGATAACGATAAGGTTGTGCAGAAGCGGAACTAAATTATAAACCCAAAACAATAATGAGAAAAAAATTGAGAGAAAGGAAAAAATTTGAAGGATTATTTTTATTTAATAAAAAAAATTATGGGGAAGGGCAAAACACCTTACAGTCCATGACTGCTCGAAATTTTGTTTTGAAGTGAAACAAAATTGACAAAAAAATTTTCGGTTAAATTCGAAATAAACGGCTCGATTCCATCTCGATTCGATAAAAAGAGAGATTTCGAGCAGCCCTAGTCTGGCTATTTTATGTAAAAGAAACTGCAACGTCCACTGCTGTTTTAAAAAGAAAATGTGTCAAGATTAGTTACAATTTTGCAGACGTATTTTAAATTTGTAAAAACAAAAAATGGAAATATTAAATTGGCCAAATTTTCTATTAGTAGAAAAATTTTTGGCTGAGAAAATAAAATTTAAAAATTGTAGCCAGAGAATTAATAAAAAAATTTTTTTAAAGTTAAAAATCGAAATCTCAAACAAAAATCTCAGTTATCGAGATGGAGATTTATCGAGATGTTTAATTTTTGTGCTGGGAACTGCTTAATTTTTAAAATTGGAATAAAGTTAATTTTACTTGTAGCGAAAATTTTGGCAAAAAAATTAATTAATTTTTGGCAAAAAAGAGAAAATCTAAAGGTACAACAATAGAATAAATATTATTCTCGACCCAAAAATAGTCGGGAAATTTTTTTGAGGGGGGAGGGGGAATCGGTCAGCTCTATGTATAAAAATATTTTTATTTCAAAAAAGGACAAAATAGGAAGAGAAAAATTGTTTTGTCTGTCACAAGTTTGATTGTGGAGGGGAAATTTTGAAAGAAAAATAGAAAAAAAGGTTTTTTGGGTGTTGGTCAATTTAAT